ATTATTGCGCTAGCTCACGTGGTTGCAGAGCTACCGGGATTTAAAAATAGTTACGCAAAACAGAGCGTGCCCACTCGGACCGGCTTTAAAGGGTTAATGTACCAACTCTAAGTTTATAACAATACATCAGGTTGTTCCAAGATGTAATAAATGTATATTTATGAGTACAATATTCATTTTTCTGTCAAATAACCTAAAAAAACAACTGACCGCACCTTTAAATGCTTTGCAGACATTCATATAAAAATCAGATATGACTATAAAGCAGTGCTGCAGAGTGATTTGTAAAATACATCCTGATTGTGTGTGTACAGTGTAAATGCTCTATCAAAAATCTGCAACTTCACATCGAGTATCATCACACGGTCCAACCCTAACACGTCTCGGAGACGCGCTGTATGCACGCGGTGTGTGAAGAGGAAGTGATCCGAGCTCTGTCACAGCTCTGCTGCCAATAAGATTCACAAGCTTCAGCACTGAAACCAAAACACACTTTTGTTCTTTCTTTACAGAAATTGTTTTCTACGCGGAATCACATACTGGACCTAGTTTACGCTCTAAATGACTTATGTGAAGTTCATCGTTGCTACAGCTAAATAATGCATCAGTCTCAGTCATTCGTTCAAGTCTGAACTTGAAACATGGAACTTTAAACCCAATCTCCACCACAATCACTGCTACAAATCTGTCCAGTCAAGAGTCACAGCACACTGATTGATGCCACTGACGTCCTGTTAGCAGTGTCACAACTCCACTATGACAGCGACACCATGACACACACAATGCTCATGCTCGGTCATCCCTCTGTGCCCCTCTCCGTGTCCTCCTTACTTGACTGCAAGCTGTGGAGATGTTTTTGTGCGTAAAAGGAGGCTGGCTGCCAGGGCTGTCACTGCAGCCTCAGAACAGCCATCCTACATTCTGTTTAGGGCCGCCACAATGACCAACACCCTCAAACTGAGTGCCAGAGGCACACAGACCAACTACAATAGAGCCTGTGTGTTTGTGAGTCTTGAATGAGACCAACTCGCAGAGCCTCAAACCAAACACGCCTCTTTCCTGGTTTTCAGACACGCACTGGGGGACAATATGGATTCTCACTCTAAACATAAGCCTCCCTCTGGACTTCTTCGCCTGAACTTCCTGTTTGGGCCTCAGACTGTGAATCCAATTGGCCGCCAACTCGGCACACCGCTGTCAAAACACTGTGACATGCTGAGTTTTTCAAGAGACCCTCTCTAGGACAACCACACCTCGGGGCAACTGCGAACTCTTCCCAAGCCGCAGGCAGCCATCTTGGCTCTAAGTAGGGCTCCACAGATTGTCTAAGGCGGCATCTTAGCAGAGCAGAACAGTTCCCGGATAAACAGAGGGACGAAGGTTCAAGGTTTTCCCTCTGGGTGCGCATCCGTTAGAAAGTCAGCAAAGGGACACAAAAAATCTGACAGATGGACGTCGTGTTTGTAAACACCCACATGTTTCCTCTAAGAGGCAGATGAGCAGCGATGATGTCAGCCCCGACAACCTGTCAGTGCCCACGCTTGCAAAACATTCCACTGAGTGACAAGCAGCAACCACCCAACAAGCACACACACACGTAGACAGGATGCATGAAATATTTAGACACAGGAGGAAACGCCACTGTACTGCAGAATTCCTGGTATTCTTATACTCGAGGACCTTTCATTGTTGATGCGAAGCCAAGTGTTTTCTTTACAGTCAGTTAGTGCCAGCACACTGTAGCTGCAGCATTGGTAGAAACCAAAGTAATCCTGCATAAACACATGTAAAGTCAGAAATCTCCAAATAAACAATAATGGAAGCTTTGCATTTGGAACCAGAAGAAACTAGAAGATGGACTGACCAAGCACGTGGATGAAGGCAAAAACGTCCTTGTTGCAAACGGGGACGTTCACCACAACAACAACGCCTTCAGCCTCTAGAAAGGCAACGTTAGTGTAGCCACACCAAAAATCATCATCACCCTCAAAGTGTTTGGTTTTTATGAGGCACGGAGCGTTTGATCCATTAAGCCACCGTGGCTTTAATGTCTGCTTCCCAGATGCTTTTTACTGGCATGTTCTGCTCTGCAATGCATTCAGGCACTGTAGCACAGGAAGGGGAGTTTCTGCAGCGCTTGCAGCATCCACGTTATAACATCCTGTATTCCCCCCTTCTGAAAGAAACATACAAGATGCAATAAATGCATTCATGTGTTAGAAAAGGGGATGTAGGCCACCCCAGCATCACGATAAAAGCCAGTCCAGAGCCTGCTTTTAGCCACAGGGGCCTCGTCATGTTACAAATTTGCCTCTTCTGAATAAATCATAAGCAAAAGAAAAAAAATCACTCTAAATAAAAGACAACCACGTTACAAGTTGCATGCTTCCGTTGGATAGGCGAGCTGAATATTTCATGATTAAACGGGCCATTATACTGCACAGATCTAGGCCAAGGCTCAGGCTGAAGGGAGGGGGGCTCAGATAACGGTCCAAACCCCGTCCCAGCAACGCGAGGGAACACAGCTCCGGTCCGAGGGGGCTCAAGAGGGGGGCAAAGCCATCTAGGTTAATCCAGACAAAACACACACAAAGAAACAATAAGCAATTGCAGCAGGAAGAAGCGTCGATTTGTACTTTTAAAGTGATTTGATCAAGTCCAGGTGGACGTCAACGCAGCGTGGCTCTTCAGGACCCTGCAGCCACAACAACACTGACAAATCGCTGTCACATCCTGTGTTAAGCTACCCCTGAAAAAAGTCATTTTCCCAAAACGCCACTTCTAAGGCTTGCAGATGAGAGAGAACGGGCAAGATGAGGGTGAATAAATCCGTCTTAGGTCTCACCGACCAAACCGAAAGCCCCTCAAAGCTAGTCCTTCTAACGTTAGCTCTTAGCAAATGAAGTTAGCCCAAGTTTTCTGTCACCGGAGTGAGGCAGCTCGGTTTCCCGAAGCTAAAACGCCATTGGAAGTTGGCGGTTGTAATGGAGTTCTCCGAGCAGCTTCTCCTACAGTCACAAATGTGACACACCGGCTGACAGCCTCGCATTCAACTACACTAATCCCGTGAGGCCTGCGCGCCCCGGTCTAAAGTTGAGGCTAGCAGCCAACTGACAGCGCCCAAGTCGGTTAGTTGTGAACGGGGGCCTGGCCCGTCCCCGCCTCCCTCCCCTCCTCCTGTTTGCCCACAGCTAATAATACGCCGTTAAAGCTAGCAGGGCTGGCTAACTCAAACACCCACCTCGCTTCTCTAGGTCGTAACCGACCACAACAAAGTAGTCGGCGAGCCTGGCCATCTTGGAGGCTCACGGCGACAGGCCTTTAGCGCTAAATCCTCTGCTCTTTGTGCCGTCAATAGTCCATTCACATCCTGCCGGCGACAGACACATCACGGGCGACAGTAGCATCCTTCCAGCTGCACCCCGCCGCCATACTGTCAGTCTGCCTTGCCCTGACAGCGGAGAGCCGCGAGTCTGCGCACTGAGACACTTCCAGGGAGGGGCTGCTCGACAGGAATGTCCCATGTGGGGAGCCAAACCAGCTCAGGGGCCAACAGTCTGACCAAAACCTATAATAAACTCAAAGAAGTTTCGACAGTGCCGGCGCTAAAGGGGTGAAAGGTGGCGACGGATTTTCAGTGCCCTGAAAGAAAGAGGAGCCACAGAAATGTAGTGGAGCTGCCTCGAACAGCCAAACGCAGGCCTCCTTAAGGGAAGCCCAAACGTTTCGACTAAGACGCAGATTCACCACAGAAGCTAGGAAGAGTGGTTCTTTTTAAAAAATGATTTATTTATTTTTAGCTGAGTGTTTTTATGTTCACTGGATGTTTGAATCCGTGATTAGAGGTGCACACTCTGAGATAAAGCTAATATTGATACAAAAAATACAGTTTTTATTGATTAGACAGTAATGAAAACAATTGTTGGTTCTGTTGATTACTGTGGCAGATTGTTTTTCATCCTCCATCTTCAGATCCCAACATTACAGGTGCAGACTACTGGAGCACCTCAAACTGTTCCTTTGCTTGACCGTGCAGACATTACAGAGATGTCGTATGCAAAGATTAGGTTAGAGCAAACATAATGACACGTGTGATGAACACACATGTTTGAAATGAAAAGCAGGCACCCTCGTTTTGAAAATGATCGGCCTGAATGTATGAGCGTAAAATGATGATCTTCCAGATATTGCCTTCTTTCTCAAAATTTCCTGTTTGTGTTTCGTCTGAATTGTCGTCAGTCATGGAGAAAAAAAAGAGGAAATTTCAACTTAAAATATTTCATCATGCTGAAAATTAACCCTTAAAGTAATGACAAGAGGCTGGAGCTCGTCTCAAAATCGATTTCTGTGAATCAGAAATCGACCCCCATTTGTTCTCCTGTGTTATGGATGCAACAGCAAGTAACACCCGGATGTGTTTGTTCTTCAACATTTTCCCCACATCAGTCTGAACTGCTGCGACTTCCTCTTTTCTGGCTCGCTCTCACCTCCAACGAGTCCAGAATGCAGCAGCGAGGCTTCTTAGTGGTTTAAGCAGATAGCATGACATCACCACAGCCTGGGCCTCCTTCCATTTGTGCAGTGTTGGTTTTACAGCACTCATTTTTAAAGCACTTTCAGTCTTTTCCTCCAAATAACATTTTATGATGGGGAAAACATTCATAGCCTCACCTGGCAGGATGATATTCCCAAACTGTAAAAACTGCTCAGTTATCCTGACAAAAATCATCATTCACACTGGCTCCACGTTCCTCAGTGGTGCCTGCAATCCCAGATGACCCAGCACATCCTCAGAGGCCCCGATGGCTCAGGAGGGATCTAAATAATACTAGACCGTCAGTTTTACAGTCATTGCTATTTGGCGTACTACTTTACTGCCTTTTCCATTTTTTCATTGTGTTTCAGTCTTCTTTTAACTTGATCTGAAATAAACTTTAACGTTGTTTTACGTGAGTACTCTGCTTCTGGCTGTACAAAGCCAATGTTTAATATGCAACATTTAATGTTTTGTTCCAATACATTTAGCACAGAGCTCCACTTTAAGTAGGTTGAGAATTCATATTCCAAAGGAATGTTATGGGAACCATTTAGTGGCACAGATTAGGCCCAAATTACCATTCAGTCATTAATTATCTGCTCCGTGTGAGCAGAGGCCCACACCCTCAGCCTCAGTGCCAAACCGTACAAATATACTGTCAGATTTACCAAAATGTTTGTGTAGCCAAAACATTCCCCCAACTCCACTGTCTCCTCATGGCTCCACCACACTGATTGAGGCTCCAGACTGCAGTGTCCGTTTCTATGATGCAGTAGTATGTAAGGAAGGCTAATAGCCCACATCCGTATGGCCTGTCCTTGCTGTCAGCACTGTAACAGCCTTGAGAGACTCCCAGCACTTCCTGTGCTTTCACCTTTGACCTAATGCTCCTATCGCTCTCTGGTCACAAGCTATCGTGTCCATGGGATGTCATGTTTTTTTGTGAAGAGCGTTGTTTTCCCGAAACTCTGTAAAAACTTGGCTCTTCTCCTTTCTCACAGAGTTATCTGTGACCCGGGGCTGGGCACGATGACAATAGGCCTCCTCTTTGATAAGGATGGCTTTTGACAACCAAACCATGTTAAGAGAAGATAACATGTAACTAAGGTCACTTGCTGCTGATATTAATTCTGTTTTAACTTTGAAGCATGCTTGGTAGGTTGCCCGAGAAATGACAGCGGCGCAGTGCTTACAAAGATGGGAGGACAAGAGCAGCTCCATCGCTCTAACCCTTCAGATTAAGTAATGCACATCACTGAAACAAGCGTGAACTCTGCAAATGTCCAAATTATTAGTTACTAGTACTATGGCCTTTGACTTTAAATGAACATGCCGAGCGTCGGTGCTCTTAGCTGGAAATGCTCTTCCTCTTTCGTTATCAAGGCGCTGAAGCTATTTACAGCAGGTTAGATTAGCAAACGATAATCAACCTGTTACTGAGCTGGATGGAGTTGCATTGGCACTCGTGGCACTTGAACATCAGTCAAAGATCAGTAATGCTGAAAGATATAAAACCAAATCTTTATTTTAGCGAGACTGCTCCAACCCACCCTCTGACAGCGTGATGTCATATTCAAAAAGAGTCCAGACCGATGCACTATGACCTTTGTTGCACTGTGAACATATGAAAGAGCCCAATATGAGCTGTTTTTTTGGTCTCCTTGGTTACCAGATGCTAACGAAACCAGAACAGGAGCTACCATGCAGTGATGGGTATCTCCCTGACATAATTTTCATGCGGTTTTGGCGCCTTTATCAATTGAATTTAGGCCTCAAGTGACTTGAATATCATTGCATTCTACTTATTTGACATTTAATGCAACATCTTAATATATTTGTGTGTAAAAATAAAGACTCTGGATTTGCATGAAGTAAATGAAATCATATAAGTCAAGCCAGATTGGTGCATCGTAACTTGGTAGTTGTTTTTCTTTCAGCGTACATAAGATAGCCCTGTGCAAGTGAAGATGACACATCACAGCTTTACTCATTTACTACATTCAGCTACCATCTCATCTTTGTGTGCACATTTTATTTCTAGGAATAAAGAAGAAGTGAGGCGACATGCCTGTCCCTTCACTGATCCTCTTCACACATGCAGCCCAATTAGAGCGCAAAGCAGGTCTGTGCAGGATGCAACAATCATGTGACTTCCTGTAGACTAACCAACAGACAGGAAGTGGTTTGAAGGCCTCATGCACATCATTGCTCTTCACGGGGCTATTCCAGCAGCTGACTTCCTCTCAGCTCAGGTGAAGCATAGCATATGAAAATGCTTCACTGAGCAGGTGCTGAACCCTTTAGTTGATTTCTAATGAGGGATGTTTTAATATGACACACACACACACACGCACACACACACACACAGGCTCATGTCTGTCACTGAGGTAATTTGAGCTCTGCATACACAAAGGTAATGTGGCCAAATATTGTATGTACAGCAAACTGCTGCTTGCTCAGTTGTAACTAAGTGTTTGTACCCACAACACTGAGGATGAGCGACTATGAACAGGAAAAATAGTCCATGCATTTACTACAGTAAGCATTAAATGGACTGGATCGTGTACAGTGCTTGTGTTCTCTGCTTGAGCACTCAAAGCCTTTTGTACAACATGCCTCGTTCACCCACTCACACCCTTTCATACAAACACTCTGTTCTTCTCCTCAGGTGTGTCCTGTGAATCATTCCAGGGAAATCCAGGTTGTGAGGGGCCAGTCCACTTTTTTATTTGATAATCTGGGACTTTGACTCAACAGATGAAAAACAAACAAACAAAAAAGATCATAACTGAATAATTAGAGACTTGGATACACACATCCTAAAGACTTTAACTCCAGAGATCTCACATAGGGCCATGAAAGTGACTCGTCATGAAACCCGCTCTGTAACTGTCCAATAATTCTCGTTTTTCTGAACTCAGTAAAGTGTCGTGTCAGAATATAGTTTATTCACAAAATGTCTTAAATGAATACATCCTTACTCTTTTAAGCAACCACATGTATCAGATGAGATGGGCCTCAGCATCCTGATAACACAGAAACTAAAACTCATCAGGCTGAATCATAGCTTACTGTTCCCCATAAAACTGTAAGATAACTGCATATAAAACAGTCTGAGGCCTTTGCAGTGAACATTAAATCAAGTTTGCCTAATGCGTCATTCCTGCTGTACAATCCCCGCAGTGGCTTCACAAGGTGATTACAGAATAACAGCACATCAGTACATGGAGTCGTTAGCTTTCTATGTGACAAGTAGGATCACTTATTCAGTGGTCGCTAACATGCTAGCACATTAGCTAGCATTAGCCACTTTAAGCTAGTGGTCATCACAGGTAAGTTTTTACTCACGTTACGCAGCCACTGCATGTGTGCCATCATAAACCCATCAATTCTGACCGATCCCGTCTCCTACGGTTAACATTCATCAGGATCTGATGAAGAAAACGAGAGAGCGAGGAAGGTTAGTGAATAAGAAGGTTTAGAGGATTAGTAAGGATGAAGGTGCGCAGCTATGAAGACGATGGGCAGGTGGACAGATGACGTACCTGTGGAGGCATGGAGATGTCTAGAAAAAAGGGCAGTTTTTTAAATGTTTATTTATGAGGTTTTATATTTAAAATTACATAAAATCCCACAAGACAAAGGAAAGAAGTTTGAAAACAACATCCAAGCACAGACAGAGCCCACACAGCTCAGTCAGTCCACATCAAAAGTACAGGAGCAATGCTGGAGTCTGAAGAAGAGGATCTTCTGTGTGAA